GTTTTGCAGGAGTTCATTTAATACTGACTGATGTTCCAATTATTTACCAGCAATGACTTTAATTTGTATTGACTAAATACTGAGCACATCAATTGACATTAATTATTTTACTGGTTGCTGAGTACTGAATGTCACTGCAATAACATTTATAAGCTGTGAAGTGATGGAGGCAAAATAGAGACAGATATCAACAATACGTGCTAGAGTGCCTATTCCCATTATCTGCAAGGTATAGCTTTGAATCAGTGATGTTGGCTGCAATTCAGTTAACAGTTGTGACACTTTCTGTAAATTTACTAGATTAAATTTAGAACTTAAAAGTCAAATGATGGGATAAAAAAAAGGATCTTCATCATAGGGAGTATTTACACAGACAAGACAGGTAAGAAGGTAGAGTAAGTAGTCGTTCTAAGTGGGTTACACAAGGAATGAGGAACGCCTAAAGAGGAAATGAAAAGCAAAAGTAACCATGCCTGTACTGATATATCAATATTCTTTCCACTTCTATAAAGCAAGGCTAAGTATCCCAAAGGGAGATCTGTGCTGACAGAAACAGGGTTTTAAAAATTCCAATGGTGATTTAATAATAAAGAAAAAGTGCTACTTAATTAGCAATGGTGTAGTAAAACTGTATGTGAGTATATAGAAGCACATCACACTTTTTAACCCTTTACAATTGACAACCCTTGCCTACCCTTGACTGATTTAGTATTTACTACAGTATTTACAACCAAATGCAAGTAGGAAGGTTGACGGTCATTTCTAGAAGCTGTACTGTATTAATACTGCACATACTTTTAGCTTTTAAGATCTCTTGACATTTTGTGAAACCCAGCATTAGAGTACAAATTGAGCCACTCACAAGAAGCATTTTATACACCACATGTGTTACATTAGTGAATTACCAAACAAAAAACAGGTGCACAAATTTGAGAATACTAATTATATTAGCAGAAGTAACAAGACCCCCACCCAAGGCTTTCAGGCATATTGGTTTAAAGAGATAAACCCTGGACCAAAAGACACTCGAATAATCATGGCAGGTCTGCACAGCCACACACTGTAATCTTCAAATGAGCCACATAGGCACACGGCAGCAATAAACACTAACCAGGAGCTGCAAGGAAAACATGATTCGATAAACAAAAACTCTGTAATTTCTTTGCTTTTTACATATCCAATCAAGCTAATTCATTTGATTCATCCAAAGCAAATTCCCAGTGTATTTATACATCTGGAAATTTCACCAAAACACTCTTGAAGTAGGGCTACAATAGTGGCACCCACTTAAGTGTCAATTTTATTCATGTAGAAACAGTTCAAGCATTAAGTTAAATTATGTTGTCACTCTCGAAGTATGGTTACAACAGCAGCACCAACTTAGAATTTGAGCCCACAAACCTTCAGTAACAAATCCAAAGTCCTAACCCCTGCTCCACACTTTTGTAACTAAAGGTTACAAAAGTCAGAAGACGAAATAGTTTTTTGAGCCTAGCCATAATATGATGATACATTTAGAAAACACGTAGAATTTACATTTTTATTTATTCCTGTTGCAGTCATCAGTGGGAAAAAAGTGATATTTTGAATGGCGGAGAAAATAAACATTATATGGTAAAATGACTGAGATATCGGTTTCTAAGCTGATCAGACCACAGGAGCTGATCTAAAAGTGTCTAAAATACAGATTTTTGTTAGTGGAGACAATATGTCTCAGTAGCAAAATTTCAGTGAGCCTGCTCCAGTTTCAACTCCACGTTATGAGTGAACAACATTTTTAGAAAATCACTGATTTATATATGCCAATACAAATACAGTACTTCTCTAAGCATCTCTGGACATTTCAAGGGGCTCATTTTCCCTGACAATGCAGCAATTATAGAATAAAATATCTTGAAAAACAAACAGGATAAACAGTATTTATTACTCATTATTTACAATGTGGGGTATACTACAATGAGACCTCACAAATTTGGATGGTTAAAAACATTAAACTACATGTTTTAATCTCACATCTAACTACGCTAATACCTTGTAATTACCCACTTGGATGCAGATAAACTTATTACCCACTTCAAAACAAAATAAAAAATCTAATTCACAACCAGACTCTAAGGACCATAGGGCAGACCTTTTGACCAGTCTTAATAACATCCCTGTGTTATATTTTCCAGCTGAGTCAGCACTCAAGTTTTCAAGGATTTTGTTTTACTAAAGCACACTAATTTAAAGTAAATTGCAGAGGCGTTAACCCAAATTTTTAAAAAATCAGTAAGGATCCCTCTTGAACATGAAACTGCAAAGTACAGTACCTCATTCAAAGCAGCATTAGGAAAGAGTTCTTCACAATCTAAAGCCCACTATCACTCATATTTGACACTTTTTAACTGTTTAATTTGATTATCCCAAAGTCAGATGCTTAAGGCAGCAACTTTCTTTTCTCATTCAAACACCTCCTTACCCTTTTCTAAAGCCTCAAATGCAACTCGATACCAAAAGCACTCATCACTGCAGGCTACAGAAAAACCAGCTGGTGAAACACGAGGCAGGCTTGCTCTTCCTTCAACGGCTGTAATGAAAGGAGATTGGAGAGGGGAGAGAATCTCACAGCAAGCTTACCAGGCTCTTCCTCTCAAACCAGCTCCTCTTGCCTTGTTATACTCTGTAACAGCATCCACATTGAGCAGAGAGTCCAGAGATGTGTCAACCCTCTTCGCTTTCAGGAAAGCCAACACAATCCATTACTTTTTTTAGGCACCCCAGGGGAAACTGGTATTGGCGAGCTTTTCAGGAAATCTGAACAGTTTCTCCACGAAGAAAGGAGCGTCCGGACAAAGTGTCACCTCCCAAGCAGTTTTACTCCCTTCCTGCCCGAGTGGGGACAGTAGGGCAGCAGAAAGGATATGAGCAGGAGGAACATTATCTGTAGCCTTACTGCAGATCAAAGCCCCTCCCTCCTACACTGGTACTCACTTCAAAGAACTCCCATCTGCCAGGCAAAATAATTACAGCGACATCCCTCCTCTCCTGCTTCCAGTGCACAATTTACTGCACTGCTGATTTCTTAGCTTTAACATTCACAAAATTACTAGATAGACTATACCTCAGTGCCCTCTGCGGTCTGACTTTGGGATCTTAGGACGAGCTCTGAATTCCGAGGGCCCTGCCATCTGTAAACAACCTCATCTAATTCTCCCATCAAGGTGCCTGTTGTGTGCAATGTTAAAGAAGCTGTGGATCAAAGCAAACATCAAAAACTAGTGGCAAGCTGCAATCTTGTCATGTATTGTGCCTGCACTCACTTAACATTCATATATATGTGGATCAAGCTTATCTTGATCCAAGCTCATTTTACACAATAAACTAAGCACAAGCCATGATGCTTATTACAGCCTTAGGGGTACTATTAAAAACCCAGGCAACATTAAGTAAACCAATACAATACTTACAGTTTATCCTTCATAATTGTGAGGCACTTCAGCATGGCAAATTCCATTGCTGAAGTTTGTTGTATGGAACCCTGACATAAAAAGACCTAAAACAAGCTGGTGTTTGTCATACGTCTTTGAAACTTGTCTTATTTTACAAAGCTCCCATACATTTAAATAAAGTCACAGATATTTCCTATATAGTATTCACACTAACACTGAGAACAGTCTGGGTCTAATATGATTACATAAATCGTTTACAGTATCACCTACGTATGCTGGTGATAAAACATGTCTGAAAATATTTTGTTTCCTAACATCACAAAGGGTAACCAGACTCCAGAATTTTATTATAAAATTGCATTCAAGAAAATAAATGTCAGGCTAGTGCATAAAGAGTGCTAAAGACACTAGCGAATGGTCCTGTTCAACCATATTGAATGTCATGTGTTCCAATCACAGAATCATCAGAATCAAGGTCAGATAAGGTATACAAAAAAAGCACAAAGTGAATGAAAATGAAGGAGACAAGCAAAATATATGCCTCTTAAATACATTTTTTCAGGGTTAACTTTCAACTCACCTGAGTAATATTTAATGTTCGTGTTGTAGAGCAAGAAACACTGCCCTCTAGTGATAAAAATAGGAATTCACAGCAGACTACAACATGAAAACGCAGAAGGTGGAACATCCTGTACCTTCCAGTATTCCAAAAAAAGAAACGTGCTGCATTTGTAGATTCAGTATAGAAAGTTAACATTTCCTTTTTTGTGTCATATATCAATTGACATATGACAAACATTAAGCAGTAAATATACAAATATCCTCATACTAACTCAAACTAGAAACACTGTGTAGAGAAAACCTCAAATGTTCATCAACACTTCCCAGACTGCAGACTTCAACTACAGTTATAAACAGAACTTTAAAGCCTTATTCAATAAATTCATAAACAACAATAGCACGAAACATCACTTTTAGACAAAAAGTGTCACTCCACGTCATACTGTGCTATTGTTTTTTTACTACTGAACCTTGGTGCATTTCAAATAAAATCCAAACCAAAACTGACTGAACAGATTTTGATTTTAGATTTGAATGTAAGCAAAGGGATGAAAAGGGTTTTAGGACTAATTATTAGTGGACAACTAAACCAGTTTAGAAGCTGTGAAGAAGTACAATCCACATACTGTACAGCTACTTCGCCACACGTATCCAATTATCCAATACTATACTATGTGTTATATACTGAAGGTTATATTTAAATATAAAAGGAACATATCAACTAATGTTTCAATTTAGCAGGACAGTTTTATTTCATGAACCTTGTTTTTTTTTTACTTTAAGCACTGAGATAACTTGATTGAGTTTTAGTTTAGACATGATTGATGAATCAACATGAAGGAAATTTGTGCCACTGAATAACTTAGCTGGACGTCTTGAGTCACCTGAAGAACCAGCCCTGAAATCAAGCAAGCCTCCTGCTACAGCTGCAGTTTCAGGGGCAGCTGAAATAAGAACATTTCATCCAGAGACAACAAAAGACACACCAGCCACACCAGGATGCCTTACCTCCCAGAGAGATTTGAACTCCCTCTGCTCAATGCGCAGCAGTTCGCTGTACTCCCTGGTAACAATGGTGGCGTGACGAGGGGTGTTATCCAGAATGGATTCGCCAAACGCTGTTCCGATCCCCAGTGTACAAATAGTGACAGCATCCTTTAAACAGAGAGAAGACAACAGCTTCGTTCATCTCCCACCTTAGAAGCTGCTCTTGCCTACTGAGGGGATTAAAAGGAGCTGAATTAATTCAAATGTATTTATTCATTTAAAAATATTCATCCACAAGAACCTCTTGAAAAATAAAATCTGTTGAAAACAGTGCCCGGGGGGGGGCAGACAATATAAAAACACTGCACATTATATTCACACTTTAGATTCAAACCTGCAGGTACAAGAGCCACTACAATAATTCAAATCAGTTAGCATCAAAAGAAGAACAAGTGTGCCTTAGATAATGACACCAAATCGCTTTTGAAGTCCCCAAGGTTAGGGAAGAATCGCAAACACAAAAGAGGCTGAAGCTGAATGGGCCTATGTCCTCAATACCTGAAATCTAAGGTCACCATTAAGATTTTGTCTCCATATACAGTATGGCACGAGCTCAATTCTTTGTTGATTCACTCACTAGGATGTAGAGACGGCATTCGGCCCTAAGAATCAAAGTGCGTCACACATTGACCTGCTAATTATCAACAGGAAACTGACCATTTCACGAGACTGAGATAAACCTGTGCCCCTTCGACAGCAAATCACCTGACGGGAACTAGAAAAAAAATGTCCAAATTTAGTTTTAGTTTTTTTTTAATTAGACTTGCTTCTGTAATATGGCCAAGCCTTAACAAGTTTTTTATTTGTTAACTGTGATTTTTGCACTTTACTAATTATTATTTTTTTATCCAAAATGATGGTAACAAATTCTGGATATGTTTTCAACAATAAATATACCACAAATCAGACATTTTCTTATGCGTTATACATATGCAGTGTCTTCAGTGTATGGAATTCATACTGTATGTGCAGCGAGTGAAAGAGACATTAACAGTGCAGTGCCCTCCAAAAGTATTGTGGAGCACAACAAAGTAGGCCCCTGTCCATCACAGGGCAGCTACACAAACACACACACTCACACCAGGAAGTTAGAATCAACACCACTCGCACCAGAAGCCAATTGACCTACCAGCATGTTGGCTGGATTGTGGGAGGAAACCAGAGCACCCGAAGATAACCCACGCAGACATTGGGAGAACATGCAAACTGCATACAGATAGTCGCTACGATCCAGAACTGAACCCAGGCCTGGGGCTGCAAGATAGCAATGCTAACCCCTGTGCCACTGTGCTGCCCCATGACACAGTCACTTCAGAGTAAACTTCAGCCATAGGTCAGTATTTGGCTGCATATCCTTTTGATGTTATAACTGCATGAAGTCTATAACCTATTTGTAATAATCTGAAATGTTTTGTCGCAGCCACTTCTTTTGTTCAGTCTCTTTCCTAGTGTTTATCCTGTTTATCAGTAGGGTGCGCTTGTCGGCACACCAGTCTCCATTTGGTGGTTTGAACCAAATCTTTGAGCTGACGTTAACCATTAACAGCGACTGAGAAATACTCCAACCGCCTGCCGTCGGAGTTGGGGGGGGGGGAGGTGGAGGAGAACAAAGTAATGTAGCCAATTCATAGATGGGGATTATAAGGAGGCTATGATTGGTAAGGGCTAATGGGAAATTTGGCCAGGACACCGGGGTTGATTTTTTCGAGAAACACCCTGGGATTTTTAATGACCACAGAGAGTCAGGACCTCGGTTTTACGTCTCATCTGAAGGACGGCGCTTATTTACAGTATAGTGTCCCTGTTCCCGTCACTATACTGGGGCTTTAGGACCCACCTGGACCACAGGGTGAGCGCCCCCTGCTGGCCCCACTAACACCTCTTCCAGCACCAACCTTAGTTTTACCCAGGATGTCTCCCCATCCAGGTACTGTCCAGGCTCACGCCTGCTTAGCTTCAGTGGGTTGCCAGTTGTGAGCTACAGGGTGATATGGCTGCTGGCTAATTCTGGGACGTTGTGAGTTGTGTTATTTCTTCAGATAAAAAATTCATGCTCAATTGGATTGAAATTTGGAGATCGACGTGGCCAGTCTAAGATCTTCCTCTTCTTTCCCCCCTATTTATCTGTCCCTTGTAGGATACAGGATTTTACAGTATTGTACATAGTCAACAGTGACCACCGTCTGTCTCTATTGCACTGTTAACCCAATAGAGTGCACATGCTGGGCAGTGTCCTGATAGTGATTTCACTCAAGGACAAAGCAGAGAACCAGCAAGGAACAAATTGCATGCTCCCTGTCTGGGCTTCTGGCAATATCAAACACTAGCTCCAAGACAATAAAAGACATTAACAATAGTACAGAAACAGGTTGGTTTTAAGATATAGTGTACTGTACCTGCCTTCATTCGCCTTTCTGGATAAAAAATCATATTTAGGCAAGTATAATGTGCTAAGGCTTGGAATTATTGGTGGTGTATAACTATAATTTTAGCAATTATTACATAACATTCTAAAGTCCATTTTATTTATGGATCTAAAGAGGAATGAATGAAGACAATTACTATCCCCCATTAAGACATACAGTACATTTTCAGTTTCATGGGACTAGACTATACCATCCATTACCCCTTCTGAATCCTATTTCTGAGAGAAATTCATAGAAAATGGAAGAGTAGCCCGTTCACTTGCATTACTTGTGTCGTTGTTATTTTTGCCAATTTGGAAGTCTTTATTGCATTCATGGTATGCAGTAAAAAGCCCATCTTAAGGCAAAGGGGATATTATTATAGATCTTTAAGACTCAATGTCGCTTCATTCATCAAGAACATAAGGTAACTAGGCAGCACACTTTTAAAAGATTTTTTTCTCAATTGCTGGACACTGTATCCACAAAGATAATGCACTTAGTGAAGATTAATCAATACAGCAGTAGGGAATAATGTAATAGATGCTATCAGCACTACACTTATTTCAGATGCCACAATAATGCTCTTGTATCAGTGACAGTAGCTCAGTCAACAGTTTTCAGTGGAATACAAATTCAATCAAGTAAACATGTAAGCTGCTGTACTTCAACAATAAGTAAAATGTCTGTTTTTCGTGCGATTCCCTGCTGTTCACTTACGAGGGTGAGAAATCACTCTTTCAGTTGCTGTCTACACTACAGTACTTAGTCATTCTTAAGGCATTTTTTCATGTTCTTTAATAAACATATTTTACTTTTGGATTCTCTTCTCACAAAATGAGAGTCTGGATGGACATCCACACGATTCGATTTTAAAAAACACCTAGATTTCATCTAATCTCTGCAAACAAACACCGAAAGTCACGGCTGTTATTTTATTTCCAGTACTGCATGATCCTTTGGGTTCATTACCTGGTGGTTGGCAGTCTCTGACACTTTGACATCAAGCGAGCCTGACAGAACTGCGTACCAGCTGGTGCCAATATCTCCCTGACGATACACTGAAAAAGAATATTTTAGGGAATCTTGATATACAAGTACTGTAAGCCACTGACAGGTTAACCATTGGCATTGAGTTGGTCATAACTTTGTGCTATGTATGCATGTATTTTTAGTTAAATATGACAGAGCTATAAAAATAACTATTTCAGATTTTCAGATTTTCGAGAAAGACAGTACTGTAAGAATAGACGACTGTCCTTCAGTATTTCTCAGAATCGTCTGTTAAGTTTGGAGCATCAAAGGTGCTTGACAGTATAAAACAAATTTCCCGATGTCCCTTTTGTTCATCTCAATTCTTTTTTTATTAGACACAGACCAATATTCAAGTGACCCATATCTAACTAACAACCTAAACAAACCATTATACTGTACGTGTTCATTTTTGTCTGCAGCAAAATGTCAAAATGTTTATTCTACCCAGTCATTCTCAATTGCTAAATCTGCAACTGCATTTCAATCCATGTCTGCTAACATAGTTTCCCTGATGTGTTTGGGAAATATTTACTGGCAAGTATTACTTACAAGTGATCCCTTTCTCCAGATTTTCGTAAAATCCGCAAAGACAGATTTGCTGAAGTAAGTTGGGGTGAAACTTTTCGAAAGCCTTCACATCTTTCAGACGAGCAAAAATGATGTCAACATCTTCCCCGGACCGCTCTGATGGCCTAAGGGAACGAAAACAGGGCTCATTAGTTCTTTTTTGCTCCTTTCACAACCAAGCCATTCAGTGACATTGTAGTCTTGGTAATACAGTATTACTGGCGTTATAAGTAGGCAGAGGAAGAATTTTGCAATTCTGTCATGAGAGCCAACAAAAAACAAGATGTGTAACTGCGCATAGAAAACATAGGTAGGAGTGGCAAGAAAGTCACAAAAACACAGCCGTCTGCTAGAACTTAAGAACATAAAACAGGTTAAAAAGGAGAGGAGGCCTTTTAGACCATTTATGTCCAATTGATTGTTTGTACTTAAATCCAGCCATTTCTTGGGAAAAGCTAGGGTACATGTGGGTACACAGCTCCAACTACATGTATATGTAAACGACTTGCTAGCAGCTTGTTTCAGTCTCCCACCACCCTTTAGGTAAAGATCTCCTGTTCTTAGTTTCGAATGCGCTTCTATTGTATGTACAGAAGGTTCCATTTGTTCTGGTTTGTGTTTCACTGTTCTTGTTTTTCACTTTATCACTTTTTTTGAGCACTTTGAGTACTTTTATCAGGTCCCCTTATACTCTTCTCTGTTCAAGACTTCAAGGAGAACTGCAGTCCTAATTGCTCAGACTCGTTATTAAATAAATTCATTGACAGCATTGAAAATTAAATTCAAATTAAGCACAAAATCATTAACTTTGCGAAAGCACTGTACAGTCACCATGTTGTTGCAAACCGCTGGTCTTGCCACAGGCGAAAGCGAGAGCTTGCACGAATTGTGACATGATGCGGCCCTTCCTGCTCACTAGTCACTGTAATGACTAATGTAATGAGGTGTACGATTGAATAAGTACAGATATTTCAATGCATAAATGTTCTTACATTATCTGCATGCAGAGTTGAAAAGTAAGTAGTATTTTTTGACAAAATGGCTCAAATTTGAGAGCAATATACTGTATCTATCGGATTAAAAGAAATGGATTCACAAGCCTGCTTATTTACAGTGCAATAGGGCCATTCACATCAATGAAAGTACTGTTGCCTCATTCTGAATCTCTGTAAATTACCTGGAAATGTCATCTATTTTCTGTAAATTGGAGGTTTTACAAGTTACTGAGTACATAGTAGTTTTATTGTGCTCTGAAATACTGTACACCCATCAATGCTGATACCTTCTAACCCCAAAATATAAAAATAGCATTGCAGTTCCCCTGGACGAATTCCAGAGAAGCAATATCTTTTCTATAATGTGATGACTAAAAAATGTACACATTTTAAATGAGGTCTTACTCATACCTAAAACAATGTTAACATAACAACCCTAACATTTTGTTTGCCTTTTTAATTGCTTCCCACATTAGATAAGAAGATGCAAATGATGTGTCAAATGACTTGTTAGCTGCAGTAATAATGACCAATCTGACAGGTTTTGCCAGCATCTACTGCCTTACAATACCAGAATACTTCAATGCCCTTTAAACACATCACTGTATTGTCAGTACCTGCACTGCCAGAAACAGGACTTCTGTTTCTTTTGAAATCTAAACTAATACTGGCTGAAACATATATCACATTTAAAAAAGAGACCAATTAAGAACTTGGAGGCACTAAAACTCACAGAAGAATGACACTCTGTGTTAGTTTGCACTTTACTAGTAATTTAAGTACATTTACTAAGTAAGGTACTTACTGTAAGAAAAAATACTCTGTGTTTAGTGCACTTCTTTCTACGCATGTTGAGAATATTACAAGTATCCCAGCAGGCAATGGGCACAAGATAGGGTACCAACTGGATGGGAGGCCAGTCCATCGCAGGGCACATACAGTACAAACACAAACACTCTCACACCAGTGCCACCTTTCCCAGGAACCAATTAACCTGCCAGAATGTTTTTGGACTTAGGACGAAACCAGAGCAACCTTTGAAATTTGTATTTATGTTGGCAGTATAAAATGTAGCAAGTTCTTTTTTTGGTTGTATAACAAAATGAATTTTTATATGTTATGAATGTCTTAATTTAACTTAACTATAGATTAATTAATATCGTGCTTTTAGAAAGCCCATGCAAATAGATGTAAAACACACAAACTCCATAAGATACTGTAGCACCGAAGCTCTAGAACTGAGCCCAGGGGCCCGGGCTGGAAGAACAATGCCAACCACTGTACCACCATGCCACTTAACTTTTGTCACTGGTGAGTTTAATACAGGGATACCTTGCTGGTGTGATGAATGCAGTTGTGTTCTGCCTCAGCCAGGTTTCAATCTCGATCACTCACAGGCTCAGACTTAGTAGAGCTCTACACTGCCTACATGTAAGTTTCATGGAGGTGACATCACCTTCTGTGACACGCTCAGCTCCACCGAGTCCTCTTACACTGGGAACTGGCAGCCCTCAATTCTTTGCTGTCTTTTATATTGAGGTTTAAGAATTTTAGGATACCTAACCAAGAAATCAAATTCATTTATGTGGCTGACATTTTTCTTCAAAGCAGCTCACATCTGCGCCCATGCCAGCTGTCACTTGAATCCACAACCTTCCAGAGCACTGACCACCACTCCCAGCTCAATTTGTTTAAAAAGATGAGAAACAAAAGCTTTGGGCGTATGTGCTTCGAGAATGTATTTCCTTATTCTGAAAGGACAGCACAATGAATTCTGGCTATGCAGCAGAGTTTTATTGTATTATCTATCTGAAATTCCCATTATACTGCTGTAGAAATACCATGAGGCCAAAGGATTATAAATATTTTAAAGGGTAATGATTTGCTTTCTGAAGGCCTCAGGCCATCAATCTTACCTTTTTGATTTGATGATGGAATATCCTGTAGTTCTTATTATTAAACATTAATGGGCTGCACTTTACAAACACAACTATGTTGGTTAGGAAAGAAACCATGCCCACAAAGACAGTCACAGAGCTCACCAGGAACATAAAATAGTAAGTAGCAGGGAAAAACATAATAAAAAAAAAACAGATTAAACAGATACTATCATGCAATTGATCACAACAATCATAACATGAATAATTAACCTAGTTCGCATCAACAATATGAAATTGACTTTGTTCTTTGCTCAGTTTCAAATGATTTGTCAGCTCCATATACTGTAGTTGTGACATCTTTATTAAAGTTACAAGAGGTTTTATGCTTCAGCTTTCAAATCCACAGATCTCCTAATAATGTTTTTATTCAATAACTTCTTGCATCTTGTTAAATGGAGATCAAACCTTTCATGAATGGTGTTCTTAACTGGATTCAAGAGATGAAAAATTGTGAAAAAAGAGTCTTACAATTACTTGCCCCAGCTTCTATCACTTTCACAACAACTGTTGATCTAGAGGCAGCCAGTGCTTTACTATTGAATTGTTGGTGTTGCTTAAGGTAACTAATTGAACAGATGGCATCCCTGAACAAAATATGCTGTACTGTATGTTCCATCTGAGACTCCAGACAGGCTGAATTGGTTTGAGAGCACACAAATACTTGTGGAAGGCTTCAATAGGATATAGAGGGTCTGTCTAGAATACCACTGGCTTAGATATGAACATTAACAGGCTGTTTGTCACATCTTCTGCCTGGTCTTAGTTTTTAGTTTCCACATTCTACGACATATTGTACAGTATACTGTAACAAGCGTGTGAAACAAACAGAGGGAGAAAAAACACAGATTCCTCAAGTTAATTTCCACATTTGCTCAGCTTAGAATTGGGTACGACTGTACTCGGGGCTAAGTACAAATGTTCTTCTACCATGTGTATTTAAATTCTTTATCTTTTCAAAAAATAAAAATGAACTGGGCAAGGAATTACTCAGCTCACATCAGCATCAGTGTCAAGAGTCAGCCTGTAGCTACAACTCAGCTGTCATATTAGCCTGCATGCACCGTGACTTAGTGTGTCCAGAACACTGCAGCACTTTGCATGTAGATGCACAAACTACAAATGAAGACAGCAAACATTGTCCACCACTGCATACGTAAAAAGACCAAGATTGAAAAATGCCTGCAGAACGGGAGGTCATATGGAAAAGAGAACAAAAATCCAAAGAGTCATTTAAAAGATTCTAGCCTGCATTTTTCAGGATTATCCATTTTGTATCAGATTACTTGGAGCGGCTGCCATGCAGAGATTTGATGCTGATTTGGGAAGCTGTGCTTCTGCCTTCCAGAATCCAGTTTACAGTATTCTGTCCACCAAACCAATAATGCTGTCATTTTTTCACATACCGTGCATCACCAGCAGAAGATAAATCTATGGTTAAGTTAAATTAAGACATTCACAACATATAAAAATTCATTTTGTTATACAACCAAAATAAAAAAAAGAACTTGCTACATTTTATACTGCCAACATAAATAAGAAAAAGGTGGTACTACCTTGTCATCTTGTTTTTTTTATCCTCAACATGAAATGGCAGCCACATCTCTGCACCATTTACACCTGCTGGCTATCAGCCATAATGCCGAACCCTTTCACTCTGTAAGGCTTTATTTTTAATTCACTTCTAAGAAGACACTGAAAGCCCTTTTCCACACATGGCACTCAAGTGCCCAGTGGGTTGTCTATGTGTTCTAAAAGAAATAAACTCCAGGCCACAGCTTTCAGTTATTGTAGAAGAGCACAATTCTCCAGAAGACGTCTTTTTTTTTACATTCAGGCAAAACTTTTCAGTGGCAAGAAACTGCCTGTCCTACAGGGCATGACTGTTCCAGTATGTGAGAGTAACCTAGCCAAGCAGGCAACGGTTATTCTGTAGCAGAAAGAAACTATGCTTTTACCCTCACCTAATGTCTGTTTGAATAGTCACCTTTCTCAAGGGAGACTTTTACAACCAGAGCCCGTAAGGTTAATGATTAACAAGATGCATTACATTCAGTTTCAGATGGAACAGGCTAACTCCTGCAGTACCACAATAAAAGCAAAGTCGTTCTATTCTGAAAAGGCAGCAATGTGGACGGCTTACACCTGTGGTCTTGTTAAACACTGTGCAATCATTTTTCAGAATTGAATGTCTTAACCTGCATGTCTCAGAATGGCACTGGACCAGCTTCTAATAGATAATTTGTGTCATCTGTCAGCTACAGTGGTCTTTGACCATATGATCATCGTTGGCCTTGGTCATGTAAATCTACAGCCCATTCAATCCAATGGGCCATGCGACTGACGTCAACCAGTATGAAGGATGGTAATGATGTCCACAAAAGGAATACCTTTTCACTGTTAAATCTCATAGAATTACTATTTCTTATCATGTTTTCAATATAAATCACTGTAATTTTTAAAGCAATACAAGAACAATAAGCCACACAAGGACAGTGTACCTTGATGCCACACTTTTGCTCTGTTTACAAAGATAAAGCAAATTGGTTGCAGTAAAATCTGTTTTCTAACCATCTGTTTTCTAACCGCTTTATCTAATTTAGGGTCGCAGGGGAGCTTCCCAGGAAGCAAGGACACACCCTAGACAGGATGCCAGTCCATCGCAGGGCAGACAGACACACACGTACACACTCACACCAGAGCCAATTAACCTACCAGTACTGCCACGGATGTCGGAGGGGCATGCCGTGGAATGACAAAGAGAGCAGTAGAGACCCTATGTTTAGCGGAAAAAGGGGCAACACGGGGATTATCCCATGGTCAGGGGGTCGGACAATGTCAGGGTAGAAACCTAGGCCCTCAGGCCACGGACAGGAGCGACCTGGTGCTAGGCAGGTCTCACGACATCCGTCCCCTCAATGCTGAGCCAGGAGCAGAGACGACACAGGAAGTAAATAGGCTACACAACAAGACACACCAGAAAGACATGAATAATCACAGGGAACTAGGAACTGGACAGAAGTAGGGCGTCCTCTAGGTGTACAGGGCGTGACAGTACGTCTTTGGACTGCAGGTGGAAACCAGAGACATGCATGAACACAGGAAGAACATACAAACTTCTCACAGACAGCACCCCAGGAATTGAACCCAGGGCACCAGAGCAGCAAGGTAGCAAGGCCAAGTACTGCACCACGGTGCCATGTTTGTTTTTCATTACGCGTGTATTATTTCATATGTTCTTAATAAGTTGTTTAAATAATAACTGTCACTTGTGCTTTGAGTAACATTCTACAAGAATTCACATATGGACATTATGATTTCAACATTGTCCGTAATTTTTCAGCCAATAGATGTCGATACTTATTCACCTTTGTTTCAGAAGATGATGGGTGATATATGGCGTACTGGTCCATCTGCACTACTTTCATTAGCAACTGTTTTCTGTTAGAGGTGTCCAATCACAAGACTGACCAGCCCAACCTTGCTTAAGTTCTACGACCTGATTAGATTAGGCTATGAGGTGGTAACGCTGTTGCCTTGGAAATACACATCTTTGTGAAATGTTATCCATTATTACAATTCTTTCAAATCAAGTTAGAAAACTCCTAATTAAAATTATATGATAATTGCATCAGCCATATTTGATTTCTGATGTCAGCTGAAAATAGTAATGTTAACTGAGAAACAAAACTAATTTAAAAACACCGCAGAATTCACAAAGAACATGAACATGTCAGTCTGAACAGCTAATTAGCAAAACAGCTTGTGATTATTTTGTTAATCCTACGCTTGCATGTGTTTCTGAGCCCAATAAAAGGTCACCCTTTGAAGGCCTCTCTTGGTCATAAATACAACATGAATTGACTGAGTGGTCTCCTTTTACACACATGCACAGAAACCGGCATGAGATCTCCGCATGGTGCATCCTTGAAATACGCTAAGACCACATGCGGTGAAGCGAGACTAATATCTCTAGCGCAACCGAAGTCATCAGAGGATTTTTACGTGTCTTGTTTATATAAATAACATGGCATTAAAAACATATGAGAGAACAATACAGACTAAATTCAGATATTATCATGCACGTATCACCTATCAAAACGTACTTTCGGTTTTATATTAATTTAACATATCTGCACAATAAAACAGCAAACATATTCAAAAGAAGTCGTGTTCCTTTTGTTTAAACCTGCAGAATATTTTGAAATTTGGCAAGCAATTTTGTTCATCGTCTCTATGGCTTTCAGTGAATCGCTCCGCAGCACGATCATACTTTCAAAATAACTGGAAGTGAGACAAAAGGGCATCAACACCGAGTTACGTTAAAGGTTATTTTAAAAAGATATAATTTAGAAGTCCTTATTTGTAGTTCATATTTCCAGAATGTTTTATTAAATCAAAAGCACAAAAGATCAAAATGACATTCTCCAGTCCAGTACACTACATGTGTATACTGTATGCGCCAAAAAATAATGAGGCATCATCGCTGCACCAGGTGACATTTACCATCAACACTCTGTATTTGAATAACAGGGTTTCCGTTATCGTATTCAGCAGACACATATTTCATTGAACGTACAAATCCTTTCTTTTAAAACGTATGAATGCGATTACTGTGTAGGCATAACCCGCTCTTGAAGAAATCAAATTCATCATCCCTTCAAATTTCTAATTGTACTAACATATATCCTAATTTAAAGTCTTGTGCAGCCAGTTTTGCTAAATAATTCTAAAGTAAAATTGCCGAATAAAAAATAACATATACATACAGAACAAATGCACATTAGCGGCGGAAAATAACGAACTGCAAAAAAAAACATACTGTACTGTACACACAATGATAGAAAGGCTTAAAGGTACACGTCCTGGCTTACAATGCGTCCGATACACGTCTGAAAAGCCTATCAAAATAACAGCACAGAAATTATTTACGAAGAAATTTCGTTCAACTCACCTTTTATCTAGACAGACAACCCATTCTGCAGATGCAGAAGAATGAGAAGACGTGTGCGCCGCTACCATCTTTGGCGATATCATGGAACCAACCGGCGTAGCTGAGTGAGACGGTCTTCAACACCCTCACTTATTCGTGGGCTTTTCCTTACTCCCTCCTGTTTGTGAAATCATGGTTTACACACGATTAGCTTGATTAGTAAACGTTAACGGTTGGCAGGTGAATCAAGCGTTTTGCCGCATGGCATCAGCGCAAACATCTACAGAGCATCATAGTTGCTAAAAACCGACTTTTTAATCATTCATGAGTGAAAGAGGGTCATTGCCGGAGTAGTAACTATTTATGGGCTAATATATTAAAAACTTGAGTTCGGATAATTAAATGTTAATCCAGGAAATGTGCTGCGCTGCGCTAATGGTGCCTTTCTGTGTTGTTTTTCGTATCTGGACCGTGCAAACTGAAACCAGAAGGCTTTTAGGTTTGTTGATTTTCGAGGGTTTACTCATAAACCATCTGCATTCAATTCAGTCATATGGGTGCTTCAAAGCTGTTTCCCTGGAAACCGGTTTACTGTAGCTCTTGTTTCGAAACTTGTTTTCCACCTATATTTAAGCGTCAAAGGATGAGGGAATAAAATCCTGTATTGTTTATTTTAGATATTGTCCAATTGAGATGTGAATGCTAATGCTAAGCAATTGTAAAAAAAATAATTGCTTATTGGTGAATTATTGCCATCATTTCCAAAATAAAGTGGTAAAAGGGAGAGAGAATTGTTTCTCGGTATTACTGTGATTCTAAGTAGTGTCACATACTGTAACAACGTAGTCTAGGTTTCCCATCTTGAAACAGATCCTGCTGAGGTGCTGAAGTAAATTAGTGTCGGAGCCAAGTACTTTGAATCACAGGTGATGACTTATGCAAGCACCCCAAGTATTAACAGTGCTAAATCCTGGGGATCTGCTAAGCAAGAAAAGTGTTGTTACCATGAGGTATCTTACAACTGGATTATGGTTTGTGGATTAAGAGTAGATTCCCAATTAGATAAAATAGCTAACATACTGTAAATGAGCAGATCATACCGGAAATAAAGACAGTGGTGGGGTTTTATATTATTCAAAATGAGCATACTAATTAATTATTTTCCATGCTAATACACAAACAAAAGAAAAACATGTATTTTGAATTGAAATTCATAAGAATGAAAACATAAGCTCTCTTTAATGCCTTTCCTTTCAAGACAAATGCTAAAATACTTAGACAATCGTGTGTGTCAATCTTGAATAGTAGGTATGAGAAATACATTACGAAATTAACTTACAATAAACACAGTATACAGTATTAGATATGCATGTGACTTTATTGGTGGAGATGTCAAACGGTTCATCAAGATCAACAACTGGGCCCTCACATAAACAAATTTATACAAAAGCAGTGGTGAGAGAATGTTGAAGCAGCTTTCATTTCTTACCTTTTTTTCTTTTCCTTGTTCCAATGACAAGCACTTTTAAACAATAAAAAGTAATTTGATTCAGGCAGCACTTAGAGATGGAGACTAGCCCTTTCCGACAGTATTTGCATCAGTGTTGCGGGGGCACAGAGCATAGTGAGATCTCCAGCTTTCCAAACTGTGAGCAAAAGACACAGCAGCTTCAAGTGCTGCAGATCCGTAGGAGGGAGAAACTGTGAAGCCCAGCCACCCTCTGGGGAAGTGTCCAAGGAGTATACGAGACTGTCAGTGCTGAGATACACCCTAGGGTTTGCCGAGGGAATCCCGATTAAATAGTGTAACCACCCTCCCAGGAAAGTGCAAGACAGGGTGAGGAACACAGGATTTATTTTATGTTGTTTACAGTGGTGGCTCACTTGTGGATGCTGGCCGCCTGACAGCTATGTTGTCAGAAGAAGCAAGTGGCAAAGGTCCTTGTCACTGGGAGCACCAAGAGGCCTTTTCTAAATAGCTCAGCTGTCTAAGGAGGACACTTGGTAGTGACTCATATGTTAGCCGCACAGTTCTCAGAACTACACCCCAGCGACTTTACCCTGTACATTCTGTAATCAGAATATTAAGCACATTCTTCTCACTGGTTTTCAACAGATGTTTAGATTATGGATTCCCGATTTTGGTTTGAAACGCCCTTAGCTCAATGCCAATAACATACCGTCCTTAATTATGAGGGACCCCATTCTTTTTAGGGGGAAATAAATATTCGAAATTTTATGCACAGTCCACATCAGACATTTGTGATAAAAGATGTAAACATAATATTTTTTTTCTTGGAAAAACAGCATTCTTAGTTTAGTATGGAAGAGAGTGCTTCATAGTATACTGTATAAAGGTAAACTGTCAGCCTGGAGCACCATAGTTCCTTCCTTTTTGCCTTTATTCAGCATACATCTGTGAATATCGCTGTACCATGTATACCACACAATAAAAGTATATGATTTACATTTCTGAACTACTGTAGGTACTCCACTTAACCATAGTTACCAGGAGAGTTCAGCAAACAGTAGTACATAAAGTTGGAAGAACAAATTTACAGTATTTGTTGACAGCACAAAAAAAGAAATAAATGTACATAAAGATATTACTAATTCTTTCCACGGTTCCAGCCTTTCAGCTTTTCTCTACATGGTTTATTTGAGCAACGTTTCGTGCTGTTGTTTTTAAGATTATCATACAGCCATGTCAGGATTGTGGTAGGAGGTGGTGAAAGGGGAAAATATCTACTACCTGAAGTGATGATTATTATTGCCCATATGGCTTTTTAAAGTCTTAAAATTTTACTTATATTATTTATATTTATAGGGGTAGCCTATGCCTGTTGACTCTCAACAGTCTGCAATCAAGGCGTTATCTATAGTGAAGAATCGTGAGGTCACACTAATAGGAAGGATTCTGTTGAAGCTGAGAAAACAACTCTAAAGGAAATTGCCTTAGATGATGCAATTGGCTTGCCAAGAGCTGAAAGTGGAAACTTTCAGGAAAGCATGGAATATTGCCATTGGGATGAAACTTTAAATACTTAATACATATAAACAGGCAAAAGGGGATTCTATCCAGAAAATAAGTTATTGTCCTTTAAATAAAAATGAAAAGGTCCTGCACAAAATGGGGCCAGTATACCTTTCAGTGAGTGAATGCCAGATGCCTGTAACAGCTGTACCATGAAACCTAATTAAAATGTCCTCTTACTGGAGACATCACTGTACAGGAAATTTGCTTGAGAGGCAGACCAGCAGATGCTAGAGACTTATTAACACAAGTGCAAGACATAGGTAGAAATGGTACTAAAATGTAATGGCTGTAAATGAGATTTCTATTGAGGGTTTTTCATACTTGCAGTGTACTGTACAATATAGCAATGCTGTCACAGTTTTGAGTAAGGAGAGCATGTTTTTAAAGTGAGCTACTGAATCGGCAGCACAAACAGTATCTCTTTCACAATTAAAGCTTGAAAGAGGGCTGCCACTAAGATAACGTTTCTTGAGATGAGAAGGTCATAAATGAAGTAACAAATTAACAACATTTCACTCATGTCAGAGTTATAGCTATATATTAGAGTACAACTTCCTTCACTATTCCACTTTCTCTGATAGCAAATGTGAGATCAAAAGCCATTCCAGAAGCTGAAGTCAACAGTTTACAACAATCACTAAAATAAAATTACATGAGGCCCAGCTAGAAAATTACAGTAGCACGTAAACTGTTTTAGTGTCTCTGAGAGAAGATGGTAACTCTAAAATTCCAGTCAATTAAAATCCAGATGAGAAAATCTGAAGAATATGTCTACTTCCTTCCTTATTTTCTTTCATATACAGGCCTGTGGAGTTTATAATTCAGATTACATATTAAGGTGAAAGGCAAAGTAAAACGTTTCTGGAAACAAGAGTTTACATACAGTACATTTGAATTCAATAGTGGATTTAAAAGCACCCTTTCAAAAATTGTGTTTATTTTTTACATTTAAACCATTCCTTGCAGGATGTTAATAGACATGATCTGCTTTGCTCTTACTCATGCAACTGCTTTGAAGATAACTACTTAGCTTGCATTTTTTATTATAGGGCTTTCACACTTGTCTTCACTTTTTAAAGGACACACATATACAGTATATATAAACCAATAAAATTAAAAATTTGGACTAGGGTTCCTTTAAACATCTAATTTAGTCTCAGCCAGGTTGGAATTGCTGAGAACTGATTTCAGGACAATATGCCACATATTTTAAGATGATATCACATGCTTTTTGGAAGTTTTGTAAAAACAACAAATATTATTACTCTGTACTGTCAGACTATTATGGTATTTTTCTTAGGTATTGTTAATGTACATATACTATTATTTTTGTCTATTTTTATGATTCTTTACATAATATTTCTAAACCACAAACACTATGTTAACTAACAATATGAAATGCAAATAAATATGTTAAATCCATACGTACATCAATGCATAAAGAGAGCCTCATTTGTCTTTCATATGTAATGTAATATACTGTATATACCCTTACTTACAGATTTCCAGAAGATGGCAGCATTGATATTTGTAAAGGGTTCTATGTGTTGACAGTTGTATTATTGAACCTCTTAAGAGGTTAAAGGTCTCTTTGCTCTTTTGCCTTGTTGAAACATGTTTAACTTAGCCTATTACATTTAAGGTAATGAGGTTATTCACTATAAACATTTATACATTTGCAAAACACTGGCATAAAGGCAAACCTTTAGAACTACTTTTACTTTGTCTTTAAAACATGTAAAGGCATGTACTGTAAGGTTCCTTTATCAGTGAACAACACTAGCTGCCTGTCCCTGGCACTGCACATAATAATTAGCTCTATCTAATGGGCCATTAAAGACATCTCCTTCATTTTTGCACTTAAGTTTGTCATTTCGAGGGAAAACAGGTTTTCTCTTTCATCATTCAAGTCATTGGGCAAACTTGAGTTGCATGTATTTAAATCATTATCTACTTTAAAGGTGTTTTAATAGGGAGCAAGTAGCACAATTGGACGGGACACTGATAACTGTTAGATCTGATGCTGAATAACACCAGTAACTGGACAAACCATTTTCTGTTCATAGTGCACTGGCTCTGGTTCTCTGTTCCAGGTAATGCTTGTGACACAACATGATGTAAATTAATAACGAATTACATTAATATAATGCTTTTCATCAGAAAAATCTCAGAACACTTTGCATATAGAAAGGACCCCTCGTTCTTCTCCACTGAAGTGCAGAACCTACTGTACTTGGATGACACCTACAGCCATTACTGTATGTGCCAGCAGCAAACTGGCACATACAGTACAGTAAACTCTTCCACCTTTTGTTTTAAGCAGGGAATCTAGACAGGGTAGACTCTGCCAACCCAGAATGGGATTTAGCAATATATACAGGTGAAACAATATTTTGTGCTCAACAGCATACTGCAAATTATATGCCACATGTTCTGTGA